GAGTTCTTGCACTAAGGAAACAATATGATATGTACCCATGTGGGTTTGGTTTATTTCACTTATGAGTAAAGCCTCAAGTTGCATCCACTTACCTTCAAAGGCTTCAAGTTTGTTTTTCTCAGAAATTCAGTACAAGAACAATATACTGAAAGCCACTGTGATGATATTGTTGAGAACTGTGATCACAATAGAGCAAAGTAGATGCAAACAAAGAACAGAACAACCTTTGCTGCCGTGGATTTAGTTGCAATGGTAAAACGCTGAATTTCTACCAGTAAAGGCAAGGGTCACATTGGAGCACACAGGGCGATCAACTTGCACATCGTCGGCAATGACGATGACGAAAATAATAACCCCTTAACCTCTGGGTTATTATGATAAAATTCCTTTTCCTTTTGTATTTCACTAGATTTTGTTTTCACTTCAGTGATGGTGGTGTTGGATTAATTTATTCTAGCAGCATTGTGTTGAGATTAAATAAGCACCAGAGTCCTTTGATTTTCTTAGCCACAGAACTTGTTATGAACAAAATGAACAGGGAGCAGAACTTAGGTTTCTACATAACTCCAGGTCATCAAGGTCTTTTTGGATTTGAAAAACTCAGGGACCCTAAACTGGTCTAAGATTTTTATAGGGAACAAATTATTGTCAACTTCTGGTAGACATATCTTTGGCAGAAGAACAAAGCCTATTGTCACCGGTGGGTATCAATAGAATACAGGTCCAAAGTAATACAGGGAAGGTGAGAAAAGATCTTTTTGGAATTCCAGTAAGAATGCTGAGAAATAAGAGGGATGAGGTAATTTGATATAGCAACCATACAAGATACTTGCTTTCTAATCTTCAATATATTAGAATAATATTTTATTCTAAAGGAGAATAGGAATTATACTGTGCAAAAACTCAGATAGTATTTGGCTTCATTTGTAAGTGAATTCTTACAAAGTCCTCATATACAATGGATTTGAAAAACTCAGGGACCCTAATGATTATTATTATATTATTATATAAAAATAAATTATCCATTATAATTTATTAATATATTAATATAATATAATATATCATTAAAGTACCTGAGAGAGGGACAGTGCTCATTGTAAAGATAAGTCTGTGATAGGCTTAGAAGAATCTATTTCCTTATTTCATGGCCAAGAGTGTTGATAGGGAGTCTGGATTTTGCAGGGAGGCAGACTTGGAGCTATGTTACAGCTTAGTAAAATTGGGGCTCTTTCCTTGGCTTCAATTTCATCCATAAAAGGGAGTAACAGTATGACTACAGTGAGGTTCATAATGAATGAGGCAATGTGAATAAAGCTCTTGGTATATTTCCTGATTTACATTTTTATATCTTTAAAATTGTTTTATTACAGTAGTGGAAGGGGAAGGAAGAAAGGAGAAGACATTTTTTAAAAAAAGAGAATTGAAGAAAAAAGTGGAAAAAGAGCTTTTGCAAGTGGAAGGGGAAAGGGAATATTTTCTAATAAGTGCCCAGTAATTGTTCTTCCAGTAAAGGGAGAATTTGCTCCAGTATGGAGGCCTATTTTTAAGCAGTTACATTTACTCCAAAGTAGAATTTTGCAAGTTCAGTTGTAATTCTAGCTGCTCAGATCGAAGGGTATCTTAAAATTCAATCACAAGAAAGTTTAGTCTCAATATATTTGTTTCTCTTAAGCAGATGTTTCCATAAATTAGCAAGAAAAATTACACAAAATATGTTTTAAACAATTTTGTGTTGTTTTCAAAGCTTTGAATTTAATTTATAATTTTGCTTTTGTCCACATGCATTTGTCCTAAACTTTATAACCAATAAGATATCTGCCCATATTTAGTAGGAAAAACTTTCAAACTCAGGCAGTAAATGGTCAACTTATAAAACCAATTATATATAGCTTGAATCTGATTATAAATCTGAAATGTATATTTAAGTGTGAAAGAGCTGAACTATTTGATGAAAGAAAAACTAATTTTAATTAAGTTTTCATATGTAGATTTAAAATAAACTTTCAATGGAAAATCCAGTTGACATTTGATATGCTGATATAGAATTTACATTGTTACATCATAAATTATAAACAAATTAGGCAATTTAACACATATTATATTGCTTTTTTATGAATGATTTTACTTAAATGAAAAGATAAGTTAATTTTTACAATGAATCTAATGTATGATAACAATTATATTCATTATTTAAATAAACAGAATGTCCGCCATTCTATATCTTGAAAACATAGAATGTTTTCATGTAAAATGTTGATCATGTAAAATATTCTTAATAACAATGTTTAAAAGTAAAGTTTCAAAAGATGTCACTTTCAAGCAGAACATAGGTGTTAGCACTATACTGGAGGGCAACATTAATATCTTGTTAACTATTATATCCAGTGAGTTAAGGGAATTCAAGATCCATTTTATTTTCAGAAGAATGAAACTTAAAGAAATTTAGCTAAGGAAAGAGAAAGAACAGAATAATAGTGTGATGTTTCACAGAAAATATTTCAAGTTTATCACTTAGTCTTCAGTTTCTGCATTATAAGGAGTGAAAAGTATGCCCACAAAGAAACAAAAGTTCTTAAAATGAACATTAGATTTGTTAATATATGGTCTAAATATTCAAATTATAGGGGGCCAGAGAGATGGCTCAGTGGAATAAGTGCTTGCCTGGCAAGCGCAAGGACCTGAGTTCAATCCCTGGTTCCACCAAAAACAAACAAACAAAAAAAAGAATGTGAACATCTTTAGGGCTGGGGAGATGGATCAATGGAATAAGCGTTTCCCTGGCAAGCGCAAGGGCCTGAGTTCAATTCCCGGTTCCGCAAAAAA